ACCCCAGAACCAGGATATCCCAATACAAAGGACAAAGATTTATGCAAAGTAAGCACAATGTAGTTGTGGTGGTGACAGCTGAGCTTATCATTCAAGAGTAGGAAAAATCATATGTTCACGCTTTCTTGAAAAAATAGCTCAAATCTTGCTTTGGTAAATGGTTGCAAGACAACATAAGCTATATGTTATATAATACTCTAAATGTGTCTAAAGTACAGAGTCCTGCTTAAACCTGCTAGTTTCCTACCAAGATGGATGTTTTGATAAGAGCTCTGGTCTGTGCTTCCCCCTTGTGGTGACATCAAATAGCAGTACTGTCATTTTTGAAAATGTTTAAATGCACCAGATCTCACCAGATCTTGGAAGCTAACCAGAATCAGTCCTGGTTTGTTCTTGGGTGAGAGACTGTCAATGAATACCTAGCACTGTAGGCTATATTTCAGAAGAAACTGACAAAACCACTTCTGAGTATTCATTGCATAAAGAAAACCCCACAAAATTCATGGGAGTGACAGACATCATACTATGAATTTTATTTTGCTCATCAGGTTCGTTTGAAACATTCAATGTCACTATAAAAAGTTTCTATGAGTTTATGATGTATTAGTACCTGTCATGAGGCTAGATTGTAAAAATAGACTCTTATTATTATTGCATCTAAGCTCCTAGTTCTTTTGCATTTCCAAAAATACGGGCCCATCATCTTGTTTTTATTTCAGCATACCTGCTGACTTATGAAGCTTGTATTCTCATTCTTGATTCTTAGAGTCATTAGTTAGAGGAGTTTATTTATTTATAGTATTTATATTTGGCCCTTCTCACCCTGCAGAAGACTCAGGGCAAATTACAATGCACATATACATGGCAAACATTCAACGCCATTTAGACATACAACATATATAGACAGACATAGAGACAATTTAACATTCCAGCTTTTCCAGTTCCATGAGAGTATGCTTAGTTCTGGCCACAGGGGGAGCTGCTGCTTCAATGTCCACTTGTGACACGGGGTCCTTTGATGGAATTCTTCCTCATTCTTCTGCATGCTGCTGGAAGGTTTTTTTTTATGACATTGTAAATTAGTTAAATTAGCTTCCCCACATATAGTGGTGCCTAAATTTCCTACTTGACAGATGGAACTGTCTTTTCATTTGCATAGGTCAACAGCAAGCTAGATTATTAATGGTCGGGAGCTTAGTCTGACCCGGGCTGGCTTTGAACTCATGGCCTCTCAGTCAGTAGTGATTTAATGCAGCTGGCTACTAACTAGTTGTGCCACAGCCCTGCCCACTTTGATGCCACTTTGATTGCAATGGGCTTTGCAATAGTTGGGCTTTGATTGCAATGGGCTTTGAAATAGTTTGGTCCTCCCTTGATCAACAGCAGCAGAGTCTCTACCAGTGAATTATACGCATTTCATCAAGGTACTAACCCCAGGATTCCACAGGTTGAAGCCATGAGAGTTCAAACAGTATCAAACTACTGGAATTCTGTAATGTAAATGCACTGTGGACCATATGGTCTGAATACCTAACCCAGTATTTGGATGGCCAAGGTTCTTCGACATTATTTTTAGCCACCTGGCCTGGTTAAGAATTCTGGGGAATTTAAAATCTTACACAGTATTGTAGAATTATAGTTAGTTTTAATGAAAAATACTCTCTTCTATTGCATGGGTGCTAATGAATGTATTGGTGGATGAATGGGAGAAAGAGGAATGAATCTCATTTTTCTGACATCAAAATGTTCCTGAGACTTGTGTGATTTTCCATGAATGCTCAAATCCTTTATAAAAAGTGGTGTAGTTAAATGGTGTCCTTTATATAAAATGGCAAAATCAGGATTTGTTTTTTTATAGTTTTAAAACTTTATTTTCAAGCAATAGATGGTGAAATCAGTGGATGCTGAATCTGTAGATATGAAGGTCTGGTTCTAGCACTCGCTTTCTTGAAATGATTTCTACAGTCCATAAGTCAGTTGACAAATGTTGTAGGCATCAATGACCATCTATCATTTGAAAAAAAACATCTAAAAATTTATTTGGAAAGGAGTTGTCAGCCAAGGGAAAGCTTTGGAAATGGAGCCTCAGAGGAAAGCAAGGAACCAAAGACCTCCTTTCTAGTAATGAATTAAGTGTGCTCAGCAACAGCCCTGCCACTCAGGTGACAGAAGCTGGAGACGTCAGAAACAACTCATTAATTTTTCCTCTTTAGCCACCTTGTCCATTCTCTTGGAGGACAGAGGTATAGGTCTGTCTTGCTGTTCACCTTAGGTGTGATGGAGGATGTTCTCATATTGAAGGAGTGGGGACAGTTTTCTGCATGCAAGTTTAGGAGTCCTCTATACCTGGAAGAGGGTGGAACGATGGGGATCATTGAGTCAAGCAAAATGTATTTGCTAGTTGAACATTTAGGAGGATTTTTTAAGTCATGTCAGGAGTGAGTTGAGAAACTGCAAGTCACTTCTAGTGTGAGAGAATTGGCTGTCTGCAAGGATGTTGCTCAGGGGACGCCCGGATGTTTTGATGTTTTATCATCCTTGTGGGAGGCTTCTCTCGTGTCCCCACATGAGGAGCTGGAACTGATAGAGGGAGCTCATCCACACTCTCCCCAGATTCGAACCTGTGGTCTTCAGTCCTGCCGGCACAGGTGTTTAATCCACTGTGCTACCGGGGGCTCCATTTAGGAGGCTGAGAATCAGGGACAATTGAAACACAAAAGCCAGTTCCTAAAATTCTGTCACATTCTAGCGCAGGCATGGGCAAACTCCAGCCCTACAGTTGTTTTGGACTTCAACTCCCACAATTACTAAAAGCCTACTGTCTGTTAGGAATTGTGGGAATTCAAATACAAAGTTTGTCCATGGAGGGCCAAAGTTTGTCCATGGCTGCTCTAGCATTAACAAGCCAAAAAGGGAAATAGTGCAATTCAGCTGAACAAATAAGGAGAAAATATAGCTCAGTGGCAGAGGACATGGGTTGGATGCAGAACATTGCCCCAGCTTAGTTCTGACATCTTTAGTTAAGAGCTCTGAAATGGTACATTTTGGCTTATTAGAATTCTTTATGCTGGCTAGGGAGAATTTGAGGAGATGTAGGGCACATCAGCACTGACCAGTCAGTTTGAAACTGGCATAGAAGCAAGTGGTTTTGGTGTGCAGATATTTACACTGGAAATTCTGGAACTGGTTCAAGACCTGGATAGTGCAATCTGCACACACTGCAGAGGTTGGTCTAAAATAGCTTCTACTATCTGCAGCTTAATAGGTGCCAATAATGTTTTTTTCCTCAACTCCCCTCTCTAGAAGGCTCATGCACACATGCAGCAGAGTGCTTCTGGTGCTTGAACAGGGATTAACATTTGGTGGAGTCAGTTTCAACCTGCAATTTGGTTTACACTAGATTGTGCTAATGCACATTACAGGCTCTACTTCAAAGTATCCCTGACCTTGCTTATCTTTAAGCGCAGTGCACATTCATGATGTTCATAGTCTAGCTGCCACATTTTCAAACTGCATCAAGCTGCAAGGTTAGTGTAAATGGAATCATAGTTCCAGAAGTAAACTAGAAGCATCAACTAACAATTCATGAAAAGAACCATTCTGCTGGTGACCTTAGAGAGTTGATATTATTCAGAGCAGTCAATATTGTAGCCTGTAGTCAAAATTGTAGCACCTTTCTTTGTTTCTCGTAGGAACACACTTAATTCTCAGAATGTAGAATTACTTCTTTTTGTATCCCTAAGCTGTACCATTTACCTTTTCTTGTGTCAGTGAATGAACACCATTGTCTCTTGTGCAGAAAAATGAATTGGTGGAAAGATTGGGAGAATGTTGATATCCAGATCTTTGCTGACAGTATTAACTGCTGTGTGTGCACTGAGGTCAATTGTTCTAGTGATTTAAAAGCCTTCTGTCCACAGAAATTCCAATGCTAGGAACTTCACAGGTCTATGTACAATGTAGGAACAATCACAGAAGATATTTAAGTCTGCTTTTTTGGGGTCATGTGTCATGCATACTGAGAGGTGCTCACTTTTCAAATGTGTTCATGTTAACTAATTTATATGGGCCCTATCACATTACACCATTATAACATTATCGTTCTACTCTTCCTTTACATCATTCCTGAGCTTGCAGTTTAGATTTCTGGCTGAGAATGCCCTTCCCCAAATTGCAGACCCCAGAATTTCCTATGATGTTACCATGGCAGTTAAAATGCAATAATTGTGGTATAACAGTGAAGGGTGATAGAGCCCTAGGTCTCTGTTAAAAGCCGAAAAATAAATTATTTTTTTATCACTAGGTAGCAGATTTCTTTTAATGGGTGTATGGGCTTGTGGTCAACAGAGGAGAAGGGAGAGGTCAGTAAGTGGGAAGGAGGCAAAGGAAGACCCCACTGAAGAAATCCTGTCCTGTGATAGGTCCGGGTAGAGCACGGATGAGCTCCCTCTATCAGCTTCAGCTCCTCATATGGGGATATGAGAGAAGCCTCCCACAAGGATGATAAAACATCAAAACATTTGGGCATCCCCTGGACAATGTCCTTGCAGATGGCCAATTCTCTCACACCAGAAGCAACTTGCAGTTTCTCAAGTCACTCCTGACATGACAAAAAAAATGGTTCACCTTAGGGTTCCATAAGTTGGAAATGACTTGAAGGGAGGAGACCACAGATCAGAATGACAATATTGTGTAATGTACCCTTCATGGATGTTGAATGAATGGCCTCTGCCCCATAAGTACACACATGAATTCAAGTGGTCTGGCTTCACTACAATGTGGTGAGCACATCTCCATCTTTGTTTCCTGTATAACTGTGCTCAACAGGCTTACCCAGCCAGATACTCTGGTTAATTTCAGATAAACTTGGAAAGGTCCCCAAGCTCAGCACCTTCAATTGGGGGTGGGGGGGTGGGGGGGGGTGGGCGGGTTAGGATTAGGAAGTCATTCATTCATCGGGCATTCAACACACAGGCACTCTCTAGGCCATGCACACAGACTAACTGAATGCATAACTTTATTAAATAAATGCTTTGTCATAAGAAAAGACAAAGATCAAAGAGTAACATAAATTATAAGTTGAATAAATAGTATACAGCAATCTTCACTTTTTAATAAAATGTGAGATTATTTTTTTAAAGTACAAAATGCTAAACATAGCATTACACTCCTCATCCATTGTCAGCTTTTCACAAATTGCTTTCCCCCCCCACCGGTAAGAGTATGAATATTCTTGTTTACCGCAAAACAAAAACAAAAACAAAATATCCACAGAGCTACTGTATGTATGTAGGTATGTATGTAAAGCTATTCAAAGCTACCATAAATGTGTAGTGAATAATTCTGCATAATGATTAAAACCAGGCAGGAAACTCGGAATCTTGTGTGGTGTCAACTGTGCTAAGGTGGGCGACAGAGCCGTGTTGCGGAAGAGCTGTCCCAGTGGCGTTGTGAGAGGAGAGGGACATGGACGGAGCCGGACATGGAGTGAAACATGGCCCTTCTCCTCCACAGGGCATTCACTCAGGAAAGTCATACCAGGAAACTGGCCCCTTTGGATGATGGCGACCTATCAGCCTCTCTGCCAAGAGAGAGGGAGCATAGGAGAGGGCAAGGGAGAGAAAGAGAGAGAGAGAGATGGAGAAATAGTGCAATATGCTCTTGTACTAGTGGTTTCAAGGTAAAACTGTCTGCTGCAGCGCTGACAAGGACTGCCTCGGCTGAGAAAGAAGGTCTTAGCTTTCCAGTTGCTCCTCTTGTCTTCTGTTACCCCAGCTGCAATGGGACCCTCTCGAGATCTTGATTCAACAACAACCAAAAGGAAATACTGCTCTGGTGGCTAAATCAGCCTTGAGCATTTTGTTTTTTTCTGTGTGAAAACGATCTCTTTGCAGTCTTTCTGCCTTTCTGCTGTGCGCAAATTCTCTGAAAAGAGCTTCCCCACTGCTTTGTCTTTTTTTTGAGAATCCCCCCTTCCTGATTCACTGATCCTTGATAGGAGGAAGGTTCCTTATTTAAGAAAATCAAGAGAGCCTGTTCTCCTTTGTCAACAAGGGAGACTGTATCTTATGCAGAGCAAAATGGCATTATCATGCCTTCCCACTTGCCTCCACCATGTCCAAGGTGTGTAGCACCTATGGCTGATCAAGTTATTTTGGCACCTGAAGCAGAAAAGCCCACAAAATGCCTTTCTCTGGAAAGAATCCCTCCACCCCATAATAAAAAAATAGGGGCGGGAGCGGGGGGGGGGGGGAAGTAACAGTATTCTGTTTTTTGAAAACTCCCCAAATTAATTGCCATAGGGAAGCTTGATTGCAGAGATAGTCCTCAGTAACATTCAGTTTCTGCTATTGTTTYGGTAGTGGGTTTCTTTGTGGGAGTGTAGATAATATAGGAAAAGAAAAGGCATTCAAATACAGAGTGACCAGCCGGCGGGAAGGAGGAAGATCCATTCATTCTATACTGCATTTAAAGCTATTATGGCTTTGGCTTATAACAAACGTTATAATTAAGCACTAAAAAAAAGAGTTGGATTGGTGGTCAGTGAAATCCTTAAGAATTGATGGCTAGATTGTGCCTTGTGTCCAATGCAATAGAAAAGGCTCATGAATTCAAGGGGGGGGGGGATGATTTTGTAATTGAGGTAAAGAACAGACAAATTCTGTGCTTTTGAATAAGTTTTAGAAACCACCCTGTTTTTATTGGCAGGGTTTCTTGTAATAAGTGCTTCAAAATAGGATGGGATATGGGTCCTGTTGCTAATGCTTATTAATTGCATTTCTAGCTGCAGCATCTGCCTTGAATCTCACAGGCTTTTCACCTATCCAGCTACCCTACAGTTTTGCTATGCTCTCAGGCAAATGTCACATTGGTGGTTAGCAGGATTCATCTTGAAATTACAGAAAATAAGCATCTTACCCTATATATCAGCATACTAGTGCAGCTCTTTATTTGAATCAAAACAAGAGTAGTCAAGCTTTGAAAGATAACTATCACCTTCCTGAATCAACTCTACTCCAGGATGCACTTGGAAAAGGGACTGTGATTCTTTTTCTTTTATAGCAGTGGTTCTCAACCTGTGGATCCCTAGGTGTCTTGGCCTACAACTCTGAGAAATCCCAGCCAGTTTACCAGCTGTTCAGATTTTTGGGAGTTGAAGGCCAAAACATCTGGGAACCCACAGATTGAGAACCACTGTTCTATAGACTCCAAGTAACGTTGCATAGTTAAGGCAAATTGCTCTGTCTTGCAGCTGAGAGTTTGTTGTTGAAAGTAATGCATATATGTATACCTCTAAGGGCTCATGCTTCTCCTAGTTTTGGATTCTTCATGCACTTCCATCAGGCTTAAGCAACACTGACCAATGTGCCGCTTTACAAAAAATGAGCCATCACCAGTGCATTTGGACCTAATTCAACTTTTGCTGCAGCCAGAAAAGTTGCACCTAGCAGAGATTACTTTTTTAATATTACTGCTCATGGGGGATTGGAGAGCAGTAGTTAAAAATGTTTTCTGGAATCTAATGACTAGGCAAAATGGTAATGCCTTCAGGGGTATTTTTTTTTAAAAAAATTACAAAACTTGTATTTTAATTGGCAACACCTTTGCTGATTATATTATTTGTGGGGTGTATGTGCATGAAAGAGATGGGGTGGGAGAAAGAAGTTAAGGCTGTTATATATGCCTCTGGTTTACTGGGTAGGCTCTCTTCTCTTTTTTCTGCAGGAAAAGGTTTTCAAGTTTAAATCAATAAAATAAAAATACATTTCAAAAAAATAAAGAACGTTTTTTTCTGAAACCAGTCCAGGAGTGCCAAGAGAGTATCTCCTATATTTGGGGATAGAGTTGGGTAAGAAGGGTTTTAAGGACATACTTTTATCTTATGTAACTAAAGTCATATTTGCACCACAGATGTACACTCATTTTAGAGTCATTCTGTCCCTCCAGGGAACATTAGGGAGTGTCTAGGAGAATCCTCAGACCCTCAGCAAACTACTCTTCCCAAAATTTCGTTGGGAAAAGATATGGCAATCAAACTGGTATAAAACTTGCAATCCTTTACAGTGAAAATTGCCCCAGTTCTTTACTGTTTTTTAAAAAATGCCTAACACAACTCCTGCCCCTTTATACACAACATATCTTAGGTTATACATACTACCCTCTCCATCTGTTTTTTGCCTTTCACTCTGCTTTTTGGAGAATAAGATGTTTTTGTTTGTCTTAACACCCTAAAAGCAATTGGATTCTGCTGTCTCTCCATAGCTCTAATCTACCCCTGCTTTTGACACTCTGACCCATCATTTGCATGTAACAAAGTGCATTGTGCCTGCCTTACAGTGAGCAAAATGGGTCTGACACATCTTTCTCAAGTCTCATCTTTGTTCATAATGGATCCATATTGAACCCTCATCTTCAAAGAGCTCAGAAGCTAATAGTGACTTTTGTTTTAGTATAAACTTCACCAGGTTTTGAAATATCATTTTGTTCCTTTGTCAAAGGTCAGACACATATGTGACGGAAAAGATTGGCAGCAGGGGAAGGGTGGAGAGTGGCTTTCTAGAAATGTCAAGACCAGATTCAAGCTTTACATAATCCTGCTGGATTGGATGTTAGGAACCAGAAATGAGACAGTTTCTTTTGGTGGCTTCCCACAATGCACTACTTTGATGCCACTATATGTCTCCCTCACTTGGAATATTGACTATTAACTGAGGCATACAGACCCTAAGAGACCCATGGAGATTTGCTTTATGATTCCATGTGTTGTGGGAAACTTGTAGTCCTTCCGATGTTGTTCAAAAGGAACCACACAAATATTAGCCAGCACAGCCAGTAGTGAAGGGCAACATGCTCTGTGGTTGGGTACCATATAGAAGGTCACAATTAACCTATCCTAACTTACAAGAGTGACCCATCCTGAAAACTATTGAAAGAATACTTGATGGATTTCATTTGTCTTAGTTGGCGGAAAACCACAGATGATAGCCCAAATATTTTGCATGACATTCCCACATGGACATCAAACTTCCTTAGGTGTAGCCTCCCTTCCGTATTGCCACACATTTCCGTTCTTTATCCTGTTTACATGCTTGTGACCCAGAAGTCCATTCACACAATGTCCAGAGAGATTCATGATATGGAGTCTCTAAAAAGAAGTGCTCTCAAGTGGCAAAAACTGAGTAACTCTGTATCACCTTTCCTGCCAAATAATTGAGAAGTGGGACTATGTAGCTGAGGGTGATGAGAAAAACAGACATTCCCCACCAGCAACCCAAACAAATGCAGGTAGCAAAAAAGGAGAGACATTTTCATCTTTCAACACCCTAAAATAGGGTTGTAGGGGAAAGGGGAGACACGGGTCCAGCTGTTCTTGAAATGTCCCAGTCAAAGCACAGTTCAGTTTAAAAAAATACCAGAGGGCATGCCTGGCTTTTGCCCCAGCTCGAGGAGAAAAGCCATAAAGTCTTACCATGCTGCCAAAGCCCAAGGGAGTGAGTGGATGGGATATCCAGAGGTGATCTACATGCCTCTGGAAGTCTGAATGCCAACACATGTATCTCTGGATTAAATGCCAAATGCTGGATTCCAGGACGGAGTTGATTTGGTTCATGTTTTTGGAGTCCATGGCAGGAATTACACCCAAACAGTCAACATTTTAACTGTGGGAAGAAAGGTTGCATTGCTGTCCCCATCTTTCCCAGTCTCTGCACAAAGGTGGGAAGTCACCTCCCCCCATTTCTGTAAGACAAGACTCAATGGTGAGAGTCCCTGATCTAGATTCTCTCACATCCCTGGGAACACCAGATAATCATTGGCTTTTCAACGTTGTCCTGGAGCTCAGATGGAGATGAGAAGGTGAGGGCAGGTTAGAAACAAAGCTTGCCACAGTCCCTTTTATGCAGTTGCCATTCTGCCAGAAAGATTCCTCATTTTCCTTTCATCTGTACTAGTACTGTGCATTGTGAATCATTGTGGGTGTCCTTCTTTCAATGCCACTCTTTTGTTTTGATGCTTAGCAGGCAGAGCGGGCTTTCCCCATCTGCCCACAGGAAACTGTTTTTCTCTGCCCCTTTGTCTCTTTCCCTCATTCTCTCTCTCACTCTATGCTTCTGATTTAGCATGTTGTCCAAAAGTACTTGCAGCTAGCCACATCAGTGTCCTCAAGTCCTTTGGAGTCCTCTTTGGGGACAGGATCCTCACCAAAGGTTGCCATTTTATGTTAGAGAAGTCTCTCAATGCTTCTGAATGGCTACCCATTCCAACAATTCCTCCAAATAGTCCCTTTGTACTGGTGGTGGTGTTTTTTCTTGCATTCTCACTTGTTCTTACGGGTAAAGGAAAGACCCTTGTCATGGCAGTGTCCATGGAAACATATCAAGGAATTAAAAAAAGAAACAGCAAAAGGAACAACAACAAGAATTGTTTTTTTTTAAATGGCTTTAGTGGTCTGCCCAAGCCTGAACATGAAAGTCGACAAATCAATTGCTTCTGCAGGCAGGTTATATGTGCCATCCCTTTGTTCTCACAGCTAGAGTTAATACCTCTTCTGTACTGACAGCTCCCATGTCTTTCTCAATGACACAACAGTCAGAAATTCCACAGATGCAGCTTTCCCTGATGGAAAGGTGTAGTTATGGGGATAAAACCACACCAACTGCATTTCTGCCTGGAAAGCAGGTATTAGAGATTCATAGTCTCTATCAAGGAAAAACGAGAAGCTACTGGCAGCCAGTTACTCAAGTATACTTTGAAAGACAAGGGGCCTCTGTCTACAGAAGCTTTCAGATCCAGCTATAGATATCAGGAGGGGGGATTTCTTTAACTGTGAACTGGGTTTACACTTTTGGCATTGTGTGATTTTTAGAACCTTAAACTAACCCCTTCAAATTATCCTAGTGCAACCTTATTCTCAGCAAAAAAAAGAAGGGAGGATAACATTTTGGGGACTATTAGGGGCATGGAAATCCACAGACTTATTGATATAAAGCTAATATTATAAGCAGTGAAAATGTTGTGTTAAAAGGCTTGCAGGGTGTCTGGCACAGTATATATATCGCCTTGGATACTTTGGACTTATACAAGGGACCCTAAAGAGGTTTGGACCAAAGTTGAAAGAGCTCTGAATGTTGGGATGGAGACTGATTCAGTGCAGAGCAAACATGTGCACATGTCTGTAGTTACATAGGAAAAAAGATGCGTAATGACACCTGGAACAATCAGGTCAACCCTCTAATTTAGTGCCCAAGAATATCCTCCCAAAATGAACGGAAAGCATTTGAATCTTAAGTATTTGGTTTCTCTGTCTTCTGCTGTATGTCCTATTATTCCCTCATTTGCTTTTCTGGGAAGCAGGGAGATGAAAATGTACTTCCAAATGTACATGTCAGGATACAAAAATGCATATACATACACATGTAGGTGTATATATGCAAATACCTATATGTATATGTATGTATTGTCTGCTCATCCTAGGATTCTCCTTGTCACACTAAGTACTTTTCCAATTTGAAAGGTCTCCACCCCGCTCCCCTTTGTTTTAAAGAAGTTTTTTTAAAAGCCCACACAATTCAAGCACTTTTGAGACTTTCTGTGTTATTGTCATCTTGGCGCTTGGGTGGAGTTATGTGCAAGCCAGGTGGCCTATGAGATTCATGAAGGGCCATGTCCCAAGGGGTGGCTGGCAAATAGTCATCATTATTATCGCTTTCTTCATAATAAGTCTTCCCCTTTGATTTGTTGCGTTTTATTTTTTGGCTTAACGTCTTTCCTTTTCTCCTTGAGTCTTTGCCATTGAGAGAAGTGGATGACATGCTGTAGATTCCGAGGTCCTCAGTTTCTTAAATGAGATGAAAGGAATCGGTCTCTTGGGGGGCATCGTGAGGTGTGGGTAGGTGAGATGGGTGGGGAAGGGCTCTGGCAGGGAGAGAGAGGTCAGAAGGGCATTCACTCAGTGGTGCCGCTGTCAAAGTTGTGACACTGGAGGTCGCCGGCTACATAATCTGTTCCTGGAAGCTTCAGTCCATACTTGTCCACGCACCAACACAGCCCGCGTTTTCGGCCACGAGAAGGCTTGCACTGTGGAGAGGGTTGCAAAGGAGAAAGAGTGAGAAAGGCAGAAGACTTGGCTCTCCCTAAGACTCTGACACTATTTGCCAGAGTTTGAAAAAGTTACTTATATCTATATTTGTCCATTGGTGAACTTTGCCACTACTTTGCAAAGCAAACAGTAATATAGCACAATGGTCACACTTCAACTGCCACAACTGCATCCTATAAAGCTATGGGATTTGTAGCTTGGCTGTTAAAGCAGGATCAGAGTGCTATACTTGTGTAGTGTGAAAGGATCATTTGATTCTAACAGAAGCAAGTGGCCAAGATCCGATATGTCTTTGTAGGTCTTCATGTGAAGTTCCACATCCCCACCACTACTTTCCAGAAGCTGCCAGGCCTCAGGAAGATGCCTGCCTATGTTACCACATATGTGGGGCTGATTGGGATAAATTGTAGGGATGATAAGGAAATATGATGTATATATCATATTTATTTATTTATTTACAACATTTCTACCCCGCCTTTCTCCACTCTGGAGGGGCCTCAAGGTGGCTTACACTTAAGCAACTATTTGATGCCTTCCAAAACAATGTACATATGTGGGGCTGATTGGGGTAAATTCTAGGGGTGATAAGGAAATATGATGTATATATTCAGTTTTATGATATCTATTTTCTGTATTGTTATATGTATCTTATTTTAACTTACTACATAGAATGTAATCAAGTCTTATTAAGCCTTGTTGTTTGGTTTGGTATTGTGATATGGTCTAAGGGCTAATCAATAAAATTGATTGATGGCCGGCCTATGGTGTACCAGTGAAGAAGGTAAAGAGGAAAGGGGAGACAGTTCAGACCATAGCTAAGCAGCCAGTCTCATCTTGGTTGATGAGGAGAAACAAGGGTATGCTCTCAAATGAGTGCAATCACCTTTCTCCCAGAAATGTAAGATCTTCATGGTATGAATCAGCTTTCAACTCCTGCCCCGTCTGTGGGCTAAGAAGGGATAGTAACAGTCCATTTGAAACTGGGCAGATGAGGACATTTTGGATGGAGTGTAAAGGCATATGCATTCCATCAAAAAGGATTTGCACATGTGTAAGTTACTAATAGCATACTGGCTTTTACCTGTTTCCTCTTGTAGAAGCCTTTCCTGTCACAGTTGGGAAGGTGGACAGCACGGGGGATCATTCGCTGGCTTGATTTTAGTTCCTGCAGTGATGCCTCCATCTGTCTCCGGCATGGACCCTAAAAATAGAAAACAAAAGAGAGTACTGTAAACCATTAGGGTTAAAATCTGCCAATATGTTTATAATTTATTTCTGCAAAAATGTCTCCCCTAGTGATGAAAGATATCTGTTTGTCATAGTATGGGATTTACTTCACCTCTGTATCTTGCACTTAGTGTGCTATATTTTTGTGACAGGTTGCTGGAAGGGAAACATGATCTGAATTTGCAAGTTTGATTGCTGAGGCACATATCTCTTCCCACAGCATGCTGTAGGAAAAACAATCAGTTTCTGGACAGAATATGCATTCCTCTATGTCTTGTTTGACTTTGAGGCACTGAGAATGGGTGGTACTCAGCACTGAGGAAAAAGAAACTCTTGAGTTCCTAAGAATGGGCAAGATGCCTCTGAATAGGGCACAATGACACTGAGGTTCAGCACCAAAAGAGGTTCAGCACCATAGACAGTTCCTTCAGAGTTTACATGTCTAGTTTTCACTCTGGCAATCACAATTGAGCACAAGTCATGCAGAGCAGAACCAGAGCCTGGGAAAAGTTACTTTTCAGAGTACACCTCTGAAAGAGAGTAGTCAAATTAGTAATGTTTCTAAGCTCTGATGAATTTATATTCAGGAAGGTGCCCCTTTTGAGAATCTTTTGCCCTTGAAGGGACATGGAAATGGGGGGCGGCACTGGTCAGTGTTGGCAGAAAGAAAAGAAGGATGAGTTCAACCAAACCTCCTGTGGTTTTTGCACAGCCTGGGAGCAGTTACTTGAAAAGCTCTTGTCCATGTCTTCAGCAAATGTGCCTATGATGGTGGTGAGAGCATAAAAAAAAACTTCTCCCAAAGATCTTAAAAGGGAATATGTGCAGACAACAACTCCAACTCTTAGTATCACCACCTCTCTCTAATGTCTCCTTAAATACTTACTCACTAACACAGCAGTTATAGTGAAAGTGCAGATGGAGAGAGATGGAGAAGCAAGTGAACCAAGGAAAAAGAGACCCTTTACTTACCAGTTCAAATTCTGGTCTCAGCTCTGGGGCAGCTACTCGGGGGTGTGCAGTGTTTTCTGCCCCACCGACAAACTTGGATAAAGTCATCTTCTTCCTGCGATCCTTTTTCAGGGCCTCAGCTTTTAGCTCCGAGAGGCGCCCATGACCCTTGTTCCTGTACATTTTGGATGAGTAGGTTTCCTCTGCCATCTCTGAGGTAGTCGGCTCCTCATGTTCACGGGATTCCCTTTCTGGATGGAAGGAAACAAGAGAGAGAGAGAGAGAGAGAGAGAGAGTCAGGATACATTTGGACCGACGCCCTTTTGTCATCCATTTACTTGATTCGATTTTAGGGTAGTCAGGATCTCATTGAACTACAAGTGCCATAACCCCTACCAAGAACAGGCTGGATAACTTCCACCTCTGGTATGCCAGTTTGTTTCACTGAAACAACTGTTGCAACATCCAGCCAGGTCAACATCTGTCTCTTGTGGGACATGCAATATTCACACTACGAGCATCTTCATATGGTATCCCCAATAGAAATTAAAATGTCTTCTGTAAAATCCTGACTCTCAACCAGATTTTCTAGGGTTCTGATTGAGGACTGATTAGGATCACCCCATTTCCGACATAGGGCAGCCCTTTGCTTGGGAACACTTTGTTTCAACAGTAGGAATCTTTGGCCTCCCAGTTGTTTTCTACTTCAATCCTGGATAAAGGATCATTTTGTCATAACCTTCTTTTATTTGAAGGGCTGTCTTGTCCATGTGTAAAGAACCATAACAACATAAAAAGCCTTGAAAGCACCATCTCTTAAATGTCCAGATGCTGTAGGTTGGGCTGACATCTGTCACAGAGGCTCATACAATGGGCCTGTTCATGCTCCACAGTTATAGAACTGTGATTCTACTTTAAGGTCATGAATGAATCCTATGGAATCCAGGATGTGAAGATTGGTCAGAGGAACAAGAGGAGCTCTGGTTGAGGATGCTAAAGTCTGCTTTGTAAAATGAAATTCCCAAGATTAGTGGTTAAAAAAGCACTATTATAATCTGTGGAGTGTTGAAGGGCTCAGGCAGTTGGCAGTGAGGTTATGACTTTGTACTCTTCTTGGCATATACAGACATTGAATGTGATTTTCCTGCTTCTTGGCAGGGGTTGGACTGGGTGGTCCATGAGGTCTCTACAACTCTATGATTCTATGTGTGAACCAACTGGAGCACCTTCCTAAACTAAACAAAATTCTTCTCTTTCCATTCCAATTAACTGATTAAAATGTATTTGAATTCTACCAGCTTGTAAGCCACTCCGAGCCCCAGGGGAGTGGTGGCATATAAGTTTAAATAATAAATAAATAAATAAATAAATAAATAAATAAATAAATAAAATTTTAGAGTAGTGTACAAGTTCAGAGTGCAAATACCAAACAACTGTTCATTCTTGAAAATCCAAACGCCATTGGGATTCAGATATGATGAGAACCGTGCTCTCTGACAGAGAAGGATAAATGTCTTACAAAACTACAAATCCCAGAATTTTATAGCAGTGACTCATGGCAGTTAAAAGTGGTGTCAAACTACTATAACTCTGCAGTGTGGCCGGAGACCTAGGAACGTCACAGGGGGCTGGTCTTGGCTATATTATAAAACTGGTGTTATAAGGTGAAGACTGGTGATGACATTAAGGATCAATCATTGTTGAAAAGAGATGTGCACATAAACAAAATGTGGCCACATACATAAAAAAGCACCTCGTCTTAATAATGAGGAAAATATGTATGCACATTGTGCACACTTCTCAAAGTAGTGCTCTTCCTCTCAGTCTCTAAGGAAAAGATCAGAGGACATTATGGTTCGTCATATCAATACTACCTCGAGACCGACATTCTGACAGTGCCAGGCTGGTTAGGGATTCTGCTCCTGAAAAGGAATTCTTTTGGTGCTGCTTATGATGTGCCTAGCAAACAGCCCTCTTTCTTCTTGTGCATTTATGTCAACTTTCCATACCCTTCAATATTTTACAGATGAAAACTGCAACATGTGTCCAAACAACATCAGAGTGTGACCAAGATGGCAAAGGTTATTGAGGAAGAAAGGTCGATGCTAGGAGATAATGCAGTGGCTTGCTTTAGTCTGATCTTCTTGGGAAGGGCAAGTCTCTGGTCTTTTTCTCCCCTCTCCCTGCTATACTAATTGAGTGCAAACTACTTTTCCACTTTGACTTCAGTTTGAGGGGAAAAAAGGGGAGGGGGAATGGGAGAATTAGAGAGAAGCTGTGACATTTTAAAAGCTTTTGAAAAGTGGGACGACAGAGGATTAATTAGGGGCTCTTCCAGACAGGCCCTATAGCCCAGGATCTAATCCCAGGTTTTCTGTATATCCCAGATTATCTGACAGTCAGGACTCATATATTCCAGTCTAAAGCAGAAAACCTGGGATCCAATCTTGGGATTTAGAGACTGTCTGGAAGGGCCCTAGAACTCTCCCTGCCAAGTGAGATCAATTGGAGGGCATATCATTCCAGAAAATAATTTTTGTTTAGTTTCTTTCCCACCCTCCTGTGGTAGTGAATTTCCCAGGGAGAATTTCCTTTGCCTGTTAAACTCTCTGCTGGGTACAGTCAAATTCTCTGATCCCAGCTAATATGATCTTATTAACAGATGGACAAGTTCAAAACTCCAGAGTGGTTAAATATAGGAGCAACTTGGTGACAGCCTATACTTAGCCAATATGTGACCTTTAATATGGCCCTTAGAGCTAAAGTGGGTTATTTTTGGTTCAATGTTGGATAAAACTCTAAACCCCGGGGATTATGGATTCCAGTATTGTTCATGGCCATAAACTTGCTTATAGTGTTACTAGAGCAGCTGAGAGCTAGGGATAAAGGATGGGAAACAATACAAGGACATACAGACTGGAACAAAAGGAGCAAGATCTAAAAATTACTCCCCTCATATCCTTAGGAGCACTAAGCCTTGGCCCCAAATCTCCATGGAACCAGCAGTTTCAGACATTAGTGGACATTTCCTCCCCTTTCACCAACTTTAAAAAGATCCCTTTGATTCATTCTCACACCATCTGTATCAGGGGTTGGCAACTGTGCCTCTCCAGATGTTTTTGGACTGCAAATCCTACAAACCCTTAGCTTTCACTATGCTAAGAGTTTATGGGAGCTGATGGGGAGCTCCAGAAATACATTATATAGAGAGAACCATATATTGCATATTTTTTAGAGGCACAGATATTGTTTTTAAAATGCTGAAAGGGTGGTAAAAATGTTTTTGAGTATTGAGAATCCTTGATGTATCCTGGACTGATGAGAATCTTTACAATTTGATATACATTCTTCCCAAATTTGGGATAAGGTTTTTTGTGTGTGCAGGAAATGGCTTTTTCTGCACAGGAACCCCCCCCCCCCCCATATTTCTGTGTAGAAATACAATTTTCTGCACAGAAAATGCTGTTTTCTACATAAAACAACTATGTTCATAATTTGTACAGAATATATCCTGAGGGAATAACAAGCTTTGAAAGCCCCATGGTTACTGAAGGCATTTTCAAAAAGAGAAGGGACATTGGGTTGTTGTAGGTTTTTTGGGGTGTATGGCCATGCTCTAGAAACATTCTCTCCTGACGTTTCGCCTGCATCTATGGCAGGCATCCTCAGAGGTTGTGAGGAGGGACATTGCTAAAATTACTTGTTTCAAAAAATTACTTTCCTTAGAAAAGAAACTTAGTGAAGAACTGTATCGCTCCTATATACCTATCCCCAACTCCTTATTACAAACCTAACCTTATTCCTGATCTATGGGCTCTTCATCTAGAAGATAACTCTCTAAATATTGAATGTGCTGATTCTAAAACTCTTTCAGGTGTTTAGGTACAAGAGAGAGAAGCAAAATGAAGATATATACTATAATATAATTCTTTTCTACCCTCCATTAAATGTTCCTTCAACCTCCAAATTTCAAGCATTATAATAACTTAAAATTTCACTCTAGCATTTAGAAACACAGTGTAGGTGTCTAAAAAGGGCAGATGATATTACCAAAGTAATGTGAACACAGGAAATATAAGACTTTTAGGTTTGAGTTATTTTCAAATGTCATGCATGCTTTGCAATGCTAGACATTTGAAGCATGAAGAAAAAAAATCCATTGGTAAGACAGAATCTATACTTGTAAGCCAAAATTTATGAAAGATTGCTGGAGTTGGATAAGAAAGGTAACTTGGGGAACTGATGGATTCTCCTAGAAAGGTGGTTGTCTTTGATGACTCCTCACTTCATTGAAAATCCAACTGCCAGATTGCCACAGGGATTGCTTGGTGGAGCCATGCTTTCTAGTGTTAAGGTAACTCAGTGTTTGTCTGTTTCCAAGATCAATTCAAAGTGTTAGTGTGTATCTTTAAAGCTACACAGGCAGGTGTGTACCTACAGGGCATCACCCCTCTCAAATTTCATTCAGTCCCCAAACTTCCAGTATTTCAGTAACTTAAACTTTAGTTCAAGCATTTAGAAATACAGTTTAGGCATCTAAAGAAAAGGGGCTTACAGAATTACCAAGAGAATACAAACACAGCAAACAGAAAGAGTTATAGGCATAGATGATTTTCAGTGTCTTCTTTGGAGTGACAGGTGGCAATGGAAGAGAACTTTCAGTGGGGAACCCCAAGGGTTGCATTCTCTTCCCAGAAAGGCTCCTTTGTCAAAACAATGTTTTTCTTTTGTGTACCAATGTCACCTTCCCTTTTCTTAGATGACTGAATGTGCCAGTTTTTAAAAGAAACTGGCTGGAATCATGTTGGGCAGTTATGACCTGGTGTTACAGGCTCATAGCTGCTTTGTATTGATAATCACTATGTAGTTCCTCATTTTGGGGCTATGGAGGGACTGTGGAAATTCCCCAATCCTTACTTACTGGGTAGCAGCCATTGCAATTGATATTTCTTTGTTGATCAGGATGCAGCGGGCTGAAGGTCTTTCTCCCCAGATGTATAGTCTCCAGCACAAGGGTGAATTGCAATATCCTTTCCCCCCCATAGTGCAGCGGAGGAAGGGGAAAAAGCTTTGCCTCCTCGCACCAGAGAAGAAGATTCCAGACCAAAGTAGTTCCGACCGGAACTACTTTGGGGGCGGAGCCTGGAGGGTGATAGCCTCCCTCCAGCTCAGTCTTTTGCCTGATGGTGACCCACCTCACCCGCCCATTAACAGTATAATAGTTGGTTGCCTTAGAGGGGCCGGGTAGGAA